CAATTGCAAACGGAAAAGGCTCATTTTGTTGCTAATTTTTCAAACTATTCACCATAAAATTTTTAACGAAAACTGTCGAAAAAAAATTCTACGCGACAACAACCTTAACCAGATTCTTGAATCTATCTTTCCACAAAATTGCCAATTCATGGTATTAAAATTTAACCTTCATTTTTTTTTCACAATAATGATTTACATTAGAGTATTGTTTTTTACCAGGAACTGATAGCCAAATTTGCTCGCTATATTCCGATATTTTTTTATTTTCAGTGAAATGAGGTGAATTGCTGCAGTTCATTTTCGTGACGTTCAGCTCATAAAAAACAATAGTTTTTAATTATTACTAGCTGTTTGCCGGTTGGAATCCAGAGGATACATTTTGATATGTTTTTCAGAGCATTTTTATAGACCAATTGGTATTTTTCCATGGATAGCCGAATTAATGTTGGGTTCCAATGTTACCATGCAGAGAAGGCACTACCTAATTGATGAACTGATAAAAAAATTAGAACAATTACGTTGAACCTCATAAAATTGATCAGATTTTCGTCTTTATTATTTGCTCAAGCTGTGTTTTTGTGAGATAAGATAACTCCTGTTTTTTACGATAGAGAAGGAATAACTATTTTGGATATTTCCGGTTGTTTTGAACCTCAAAATCTCCTACACAATATTTGAACAGCCGAATTTCAACCCGCGCCGTTGAATTTAATGACATGTATGACTGAATTCGAAGTGGAAAAGAGAACAATAGAAAAAATGTTATTTTCCACTATTCTTATCAGGTTTGTTTAATTGTTCACACAGTTGCGTATTTTTACTCAGCGCTTTTACGACAGTATATAAACCTTGAATCTGATCAGCACTACATTTAGTGTAAAAGAAACTCGAGATGGAGACCTCTGCGATTCTTGTCGTTCTCATCTGTGCCTTGATGTCTTCTCTGATTGAGGCGGATTCTGACTACCATGACATATTTGAGTACTGTCATATTGATAAATATACAAACGACGATGTCTGCAAGCCTTGGAATTCGTCTGCCGTGGTGAGAGTCTCTCTAGATTCATCTACCACTGCCGGACCTTTGCAGCTATCTTTCGAGGAAGATCATTCAATGGAATACAGGAAGTTGAATTTAACAGAAGGAGCATACCATTCCCTAGTTTTAACCAGGGTCATAATTGATGGTGTCAACATTGATGAGGCATCGGGTCCTTTTATCAATCAGAGTCTTCTCGAAATCGTAGAGCTCAACAGCAACAGTCTTCAAGAATTTCCTCGAGACTTCTTCAGAGGTATTCCGAATCTGAAATATCTTGCAATATCCTATCAAAACTTCTCGACATTATCCGAAAATCTTTTCTCTGAGACCACGGAAAATCTGACATCTATGATCTTGATGGGAAATTCCGTGGAGAATATCGAAGCCAAGGCTTTTTCAAAGTTTTCTAAACTGGAACATTTGGACTTGTCGAATAATTCGTTGACGGAGCTACGACCAGGTCAGTTCGTTGGTCTCCACAGTGTGAGCCGTCTCGACTTATCTTTCAATAAAATAACTACCATAGAATCTACAGCTTTTGTCGGCGTATCAAATCTGCGTACACTATTTTTGAACAATAATTCGTATCATTCGCTAACTAATAACATTTTTAGAGATCTTGTACAATTAATAACTGTGTCAGTTGATGGAAATTGGACCGAAAATACATGTAAGGCTCTTTTCGAGGGACTCAGTCACCTGGAATATGGGTACTGCGGAACTACATTTGTCAACTCCTTCAGTAAAGTCAATTCAGTAGAGACAAAAAATTGACGTTTCAGACTTGTTCTGATAATTTACCACCGGTCATAGCGATAAAATAAAAAAAATTCCGTTTCTCTATAAAATTTCAATTTCAATTTCAATTTGATAATATTTAAAATTAATACACAGAGAGAAATATTCAATAAAAATTACGTGTATTTTCCGTAATTCTGGAGCGATATGTGGCTGTCGGAAATTTTACGGAATTGTCACGTAATTTTTATCTAAAGTCACGTAATTTTTCGGCGGTGTTCCGTAATTTTTTATCTGAATTATTAGTGAAAAATTACGATACCGTCACTTAAATTTTTCGAATCGACTCCGTAATCGGTAAGTGACCTGAAAGTTCCGTAATTTTTACTAAATATTTCTCTCCGTGTATCCATTACAATATTGTACAGTATTTCGATATGTTTGTTTGCGTAATTCAATTCGTTTCAATCAATCCATGCTGTCAGAAAAATCTTTAAAAAAATAGGAAAATGCAAATTAGATATAATCATGTTGAAGCTACATTATGTACATTGGTATAAAAATCATGAATATTGGTAATTAAAAGAATGGGCATTATTTATTCAACGGGATTTCTCGGTGACAAGATTTCCTAGAAATAAAAATGATAATTTGCTGGTGCAAGAAAATTCTTCAGATGGATTATTAACAACATAAATGGTTAAACTATTGTTTAAACTGAATTAACAATTTATTTATTTAGTATTTGAACGAGTCGAGATGCGAGAAAACAGAGAAGTGACTTCGGTGAATTTATTGAAATAATTCAAGTATTTTTATATTTGCAAGTTGCCCAGGGATTAATAGAAGGTCAAAAGGTTGACCTCCGACTCATCTGAATGATTCAAATTAATGAAATAATTAAATAGAATAACCGAAACAGAAAAGGATAAATTGATCACTTTGGGAGTTGTTTGATAAAATTAGAATCGCATCGTCTAAGAAAATAGAAAACCAAAAAAAAAATAAAACTCATGCAGAGGAAGACGGACATTAAGTTTTCTCAATTCCATTTGAAAGTTGTGTATCTTAATCGAACCAATCAATTGACCCGATGGGGGGAGAATCCTAAGATCGAAAATACAGTCCTTTCAGATTCGGTCGCTTCCAATCGTGGACTCTTCAAAGACCTCAATTCGTTCATCTGTCAAACGGAAACCTCCGCTAGAATTACTTCGCGTCGAAAACTCTCTTCGGGCTATTTATGGGCTGAATCTCGCCTCTATTTGGGTTTGATTGATCCCAGTAACTTGGTTTCAACTGAAATAATGATGGGATAAAAGCGAAGTCACCCTGAGATAGGCGGAGAATCAGGAAATAATCACTTCTCCGGGAATGTAAATGTCAATCTGAGTAATCCAACAAATACGTTACTTTCCAAAATCCGGGGATAGATCAATCAAAAAAATAGGAAGCAATAATCATAAGAGATAATTCCATTTCAAATTTCCAATGCATATCTCGATTTCTGTAAATGTGAGAGCCTGTAAGGATATCAAATCGAAAATGAAAAAATGGAAATATCTCGAAAACTTTATGTGAACTCTATTCTCATTACTTCCTTTATTTGTATTTATTACTTCATGTCTCAAAACGTGCACTAAAAAACTGATTGAAAAACAAACTCGATGAAGAAAAAATCGAGTGTAAATGCCATAAAAAAAACTTGCGTAAAGAGTACTTTGGAAAGAAACAAGAAAATAAAGAAACAAATAAAAAACAATTCTAACGGAACGACGTTCAACAAAAACTACTCCAAAAGAACAACCATTAAAGCACCAAAATAATAACTCAACCACCGGTCGTTAAAAAACTACGAAATCGATACTTTTATATAAAACCCGAAAAAACATAAAAATTTTCTCCAGCAAGTGGTGCCTCATACAAATATTGATTTTAAATAAACACACACAAATTTATCAGTCAGACAACTCACGGACTATTTAATTCAATGGAAACACAAACTCGACTTTAAACAGCACATCTGTTGATAAATTGGTGACCTAATTTTCCCCGTCAATATTTTCAAAGATAGATTTTCAAAAACCAAGTTTAAAACCCAGAGGTGATTTTCATGCCAGGGTTTAGGCCGAATTTGTCTCTATTAAGTTATTAATGATCAAGGTTATTCAGTCAGAGTAATGGTCAAACTGTCTCTCAAATTCTGACGTATCCTATTCTAAAAGGGACACTTGACACAATCGATTATCTCGAAGATCTCGAAATTATGAAGGGACGATTCCTTATTGGTCCGCCAAAAGTGGCGCGAGATTACAAACTCGTAACTTCCTTACAGAAATTGTTTCAAACCGGTCACTCGTTATTTTACAAGTTTCTCCAACGTCTCCCGGATTAATTGAAATACAATACACCGAAAGAAGTATTTTGAAAACATGTTGAAAACAGGTTGAAATCATGAAAGTGCTGACATGTTAAGAATAATGCAGGCAATGAAAAAAAAGTATCGGAGTGAATTTCTGGGAAAGTTTTTCTATAATAGATAGGAAATGAAGACAATTGAAATAATTTGTCGTATAAGTGGGTGTGTGGAAGTAGAATAATGAGTACCTCATTAAACCGGTTGATGAGGATCTGCACGGAAAGGGCGGAGGTGGCGCCACCCAGCCACAGCGCCTCCTCATCTGTTTGCGTTGAACTGTTGACAGTACTGGGGGACTCCCTCGACTGATGTTGGTAAGCTGTTGGCGACGGTGGCGGTTTTTTACCTGATTTAGTGTAAGATGTTAAATCTTGAGCCACGTGCCTCAGGTACTCGCAAGGCTGCACCTGGTAGAACAGCTGATACTCGCTCTCTGTCAAACGGAGAGCCACCTCCTCGGGGAAGTGCAGCAGCTTGTGCAAATCCTCCAGCTCCTCAGAGCTCCGAGGCTGCTGCGGCTGCGGCCGTTTCTCCAGCTCTGAAATCAATTAAATTTCACCAGAGTTTTATTTTCTTTCTTTTTATTTTATTATATAATCTACAGGAATTTTCGGTTATTGGAAATGTGGTATTTCTAAAAATAAGTTTTGGTTACAAATTTTTTTCCAACTTTCATTTCTCGATACTTTGAATGCTACACTTGAAAGACACATTCGCTTCATACTAATTCCGCATACCGACGAAATATATTGATTGACAAAAAATATAATGCTTTAAACTTGTGGCGAGTTGCACTCTGTTAGTTTTCGGGGATTCCCCCGGGTACAAAATTCACTCTTTTCAAGTTTTATTTTCTCATTTAAGTAAGGATAGTTTATAGCCACTTTCTCCGGGATTTCCCTTAGTTGTGAAATCAAGGGAAATGTCCACAGTTCTTCCTTAGTTTTTATAACATTTGGATATTTCCAAAATACATCTGCTAACCAGAAGGAATCAGAAAAAGGAAAAAGTAAATATTTTAGGGGGTGGAAATTATATTGCCCTCTCCAGGACAACTGAGTCTACTTTGTAATACCTCTTTAGTCTCGTGTAGATATTCATTGTGTGAAGTGCCCTCTGTCTGTCAAGTCTTAGAGATATTCAAAATTAAAATCATTTCTGAAAGTTAACAAATCTATTCGCTTATTTAATATCATAATCCAATACACTCAAATGTTCGATTCATTCATGGAAAAAAAGTACTTTAATCAAGTATAAAGTATACTTGATTCTAGTATTAATTTTGTTCCCTGTTCCGAGGGGCTACTCACTCCATAATTGAGTGATACCATTAGCTTTTAATGTTTAAAATAAAAATCCGTTTATTAAATAATTAATCGATTGTACCTCGGATTATATCGTTGCACATCGCCTCGTGGGAGATGGTTGAAAATGTTTAATCTCATGACTCAAAGATTTAATATTCCGTGAATAAAATATGGGAACGTTCAATAAAATATTTGTTTCCTTAAAAAAAGCAATGAAGGTAACAATAGGAAGGAAAAGAGGATACGAATGGTGACCTGGTTTAAACGCCAAGGAGCACAGAATCCGGCTGAAGTTGGTCCTGGTGTCCGGTATAAAGTGGACAACGGGCTTTTCGGATATTTCGACGATGAAGATTAAAGGATATATATAGAGGCTTAGACTCCCAGGAGTGAAGGGGAGATAGAGACAGGAAGGATATGTATGATGTATGTATATGCATGGGCATGAAAATTGCTGAGTGGTAGCATGAAAATTCCTCCGGTATGCTCCATTTTCTTTCTCATATCATGGAAATTTGATGACTCCAGAGTGCTGAGTCCCTTCAAAATTCTAAAACTCCTTTTTTCTTCATTTTTACCGAAGAAAAAACGCGGAAATTCTCAACGATAAAATGGTAATTGATGACTGCTAACAATAAAATGCCCTAGCTCTCTCTGTCTGTGTGTTTATTCTTCTGTGTTTACGTGTGGATGAGAATTTCTACAGCTAGAAAATAGCCAGATGGCTTGGGTTTCGTAAAAGCTGGAGTCGGCATGGCCCTGGCAATTCCGATAATGTCCCATTCACGTTTATTTACGCGACAACTTATCTTTTGGTTCAGTTTCGCTCGTTAATGCGATTGTGGAGCAGCGGCTGTTACTCAACCTCTCACCCGAAACTTCTTTTTTATCAACGATATTACTCGTTCAGGAAATTGTACGAAAAACCAATTTCCAGGGGTGATTACTGTCGCTGTTTCGATGTCATTTAATTTTTAATTTTAGGGAATTGATATCACAACTATTGTTGTCATAAAAGTCTATTGTTTCTCGTTATTTATGCGATTCATACTTGTATAAAAGACGTAATATCTGAATACGTGTTCTAAAATGTGATTTGAAATGTAATTGGGAATTTTCTACGACGACAGCTTCTTGGGAATTATCCTCGGCAATTGGATCCAATTACTCTCAAAATTTTTTTAATTACCACCATTTACGCCGATACATTGTTTTCAATAGATGAACCATCCATTTTTCTCGCAGTTGAATTAATTATTTATTAATTATTCCAGTGGCTTTCGTCGGTTTTCACGCTCCACTCAATCTACTGTCTGCATTTTTTTATTAATTATATCCACCTAATTGGCTGCCAAGGATCACTCATACAATTCCAGAATATGGGTGAAATGAAGTATTTATAGATAATGTCTTGAATAAAATAAACCTTGAATAAATCGATGGACGACCGACGATAGGGAATTTCTACACGGAAATTGGGGTGCTGGAGTTGATGAGAGGATTCTCATTAAAGTATCTCGTAGGAGTTGTTAACTACTATACGGATGGACTCTGTATGGCGCAGTCGATTACTGACCACAATTACTTTTTCGTCACTAATTCCTATTGTAGGAGATTCCATAAAAACTTGTTAAATAACTTCTCAATCCGATTTGGGATCAATTTATTGTTCGGTCAGATAACTGTATTGTATAAACTTCGTAATTACACTGAAAGTATACTGCCAGAATGTGCTGTCGGTTAATATTAATAAAGTTTTTAATATGTTCATGTAATACTTCATGAAGGATAAAAGTGGAGCATATGAAATAACAAAATTTTCTGTTCTAAGGTTTTCGCGGTCATGATTTAATGCACTAAAATCAGTTAAACACTATTTCTTTCAGCATTCTAATAAAATTTGACATTTCAGGAGTTTTTCCCTTAATTGGTCGGACGTGTTCTTTGTTTGCGCTACTTATTTTCCATGTAATCTAATCTAATCAGTTTAATATTGATTGAATATTCAATTATTTTTCTATAATTCTCAGTATTCCATATTCGATTTTTTGTCTATAATTCTTAATTCTTCTTTTATTTTAGATCACATGTTCGAGGAGTTTGTACCCCAAAATGATATACATGAGCATTTGCGAGGGTAGAAAAAGTTATTATGGATTTTGTTTAAACGAAATTAGTATTTTTTAAAACTTGACACGTACAATCCATCGATAGCTCTTGATCAAATCAATGGAATTAGATATTTCAAAGGACTTCATAAAGAACTCATTGAGACCTTCAATACGGTATGCAAATATTTAAATTAGTTTGCTTTATAAATATAGAAAAATTAAACCTAAAGTTTAAACTTCAGTGAAACATGAGAATAAAAGTTTTACAGTATAAAACTATAAAATGAAATGCGTAAAATTCATATATATATATATTTATTAAATTGTTTTCATATAGGATTATTTATATTTATTAGTTTTTAAGAGAGAATGTAACAGAAATTTATAGTTTTGTTTGGGAGGTATTAGCAATTTGGATTGATCAATCAAAAAACATTAAAATCTTCCTCTCTTGGATTTTACCAATAATCGAATGATGATATTGGAGATAATTGTGTTCTGATGGAATTCATTAATACTCTATGTGGTAGGCACTGATTAATGAGTGGCCAATGTCCCAGTTTTGGGAAGCCCATCCTTTCACGGCTTATTTCAGTGCCCTACTTAGGAAACATATCTGGTATATTGGAACCAGCTATTTACCTACTCTGGGGCATACCCTAGCTTCAAAACTTGGGCATCCGTGCTACAGTATCTTAATTAATGATGTAATTACTCGAAAATCACTAAGTAACTGTTCAAAAAAGAAATTTGAATATAATCGATCATTGACCATTGACTCTCAGTTGACTAGTAATTCTGCAAAACTAGTAATTATTCCCCAGATGAGGAAGAAATCCTGAAGTTTAAAATTTCCGTAAGAATTTATTGAAATTACGAATTTTCCAGGAGTATAAAATATTTTTAATGCTTATTAATGTCCATCGAATAATTGATTTCTAATTTTTAGTTTTAATTGAGGTTCTCCGTAAAAATAGAAATGTTTATTGGCAGAATTGCATGGAATGTTAGTAAAAACAACAATAATATGAGAATATTAATAATATGAGTAAACATTATGTCTTTATATTTAGATTGAATAATGATATAGATTGAACTGAATCCTGCATATATTTTTCATAAATTTAATTTAATTCAATGAGAGATTCCGTAAAAGGTTGAATAAAAAAAATGAGGAAAGAAGTGCATTGACCGACCCACAAGATTTTCAAGAAGAAAAGTGACTAGACTTGATGCACATCCGGAAAATGTTTTCACCTCGTGAAGAAAACAGTGTATCTATGGAGTATTTTTGCATCAAGTATGGAAATGTAGTCGAGAGGTTAAAAATCCTATACCGTCAGTCATTTTACGCGAAGCCAATGTATGAAAGCGGAATAGGGGGAGAAAAGTGATCGATAAAAGGCACTTTATCGTGAATTCAAGCCTCTGAGGGCTGGACTCTCAGCAGATGGGCGCGTAAATGTATAAATTGCCCCGTGTGGTCTCTCTGTGCCTCGTTAACCTTATTCTATAGAAACTTCCCTCGACGCAGGTCGCATTGGGGTGTGGGTGGATTTCAACTGGGACAGGTGTTGTTCAAGCAATTTTTAACTGTAATTACCCACGCAAATTATTGGACAATAGGCCGGATTTAACTCCGAGTGAATTTTCACACCCTGTGGATTATAACAATTATTCAAATGTTTCTAGAATTACACCTTTTTTGCGGTCATAAATTGTTAGGGGATTTTGGTACGGTACACCGAGAGAAAAAATATTTAAACTAATGGAATGGAAAGAAATCCGATCGTAATCATGATTTCAATCGCGCAATTTATGTTCCTTAACCCCGGAATTACGATTAGTTTTTTTAATCATTCTTTAATAATAATAATAATAATAATAATAATATAATAATAACAGTAACCATAATAGGTTTAAATACCGTAATAATTGCCAGAAAATATGTATTAGGTTTCAATTATTGCAATTGTATTCTCTCGATAATTATTGATATTGAGGAATTAATAAAAAAATCTGAAGAAATCAATAATTATTTAAGTATAAAACATTCTGTGAAATAATTTAATATTAAGTAAAAATTATTTTTTTTATGACATGGGATTAATTAATTGGTAATAGCCAAAGTAATATTTTTTTATATATACCGGAACAAGTAAATAAATAATAAAAAATGACTGTCTGTCGTTTTAATCAAATACGGGAGTATTATTTGATTGAAGATGTGTTGTGCTCTTCAACTCAGACTAGACTCAACATTTTATTTTAATTTCTCGTGAGTTTTTTAACTTTTAGATATCA